TTGATTTGTTGTGGAGGAGAATGTTTGCTATTTGTTATTTGTTGAGTTGGTGTTTGTGTTGATTTGCATTGTGCATGTATGATCGTAGATCTCTAAATCGCCCTCTTGTCCAATTGAATTTTAATCTTGAATCAATTGTGCATAATCCAAGGGGAAGGGGTAATTCAAGTGAATTCATTTCATCAAAGGATGACCATATTGAGGACTGTGTTGAAGACCTTGGACATATAGACCAACAAGGCATTCTTCACCCTAATGTGCAACAACAGGGTGATAATATGCAAGTTCCATTAGGCATGCCTAAACCTTTTGTTCCATAACCACAAGGCCAAGTTCCAAATGAAATGCCAAGGCTATTCTTTGTGCCACCTCCACCTCCTAATGTTCAAGCCAATCAACGACCATGCACGCACAATAACGGTTATTAATTCTAGTGGGCAGCCAACTATTTCTTTTCTTTTTCTTTTTTTAATAAGTAAAATGTATTAGAAGGTGTTCAAACCAAGAACGCATCCCAAGAGCTATACAGAGGGCGAAGCCAGAGACTAGGTCCTAAGGACCCACAAAACCTAAAAAATCAATAAGCTCATCAATGGATGTACAACTTCTCCCCAAAACCCAACTAAAAAGAGAGCTAATAATATAAAACTTCAAGGCACCTAAGGAAGATTCCTCCCCTTTAAAAGATCTTCTATTTCGCTCCTTCCATAAGCACCAGACACAAAGGGGAACCACCCTCCAACACTCACAGGCGTGGGCTCCCACACTACAGCCTCGCCAAGCGTTAATCAAACCCCCCGATGACCGAGGCGTAACCCAATGGACGTCGAAAATGCCAAAGATAAGGCTCCACTAGTCGTGAGCTACTGGGCAATGCAAAAGGTGATTCACAGACTCGCCACTCCTCTTACACAAACACCACCAATTTGATTCGTATTTGGAGAGGATGTCGTGTGAGTAGTACTGTTCGCGATTATTGGAGAGTTGTACCATATTGTGTCTAATGATGCATTTGGAAAGAGAGGAATAATAGAATGTTTAAAGGAAATGAATCGTCCACAGCGATTCTAAAACTTCATATCATACGCTCTCTTTTCAATTATGTGAAGAGGAAGTCATGTTCCTCTCCCGAAGAATTCTTAAACCCCAGTTCCACTTTTTTATAAGGGATGCTTTCCCCTCTTGAACGCCTTTTTATTTCAATTATTACTTATTAAAAAAAAAAAAAAACACCAAGGAATCCAAAGGAACTTCCACAAATTTTTTTAAGTCATCCTTACTCACTTTCAGCATAGTAGTTCATTTAACTTGTTGAGCAGACTTATTTCCTTCATTTTTCTTCTTCCTATTGTTCTTCATACCATTCTTTATTTTATTTTTCATTCCTTTGATAACTATTGGTTTATTTGTGATGGAGGTTGGGATTGAGTAAAGCCCTTCAGCTTGATAAGTATTCAAAGTAGTTTATTTGATAACTATTAGTTTTAAAGTAGTTGTTAAGCAGATTTGAGGTTGGGATTGGTTTATTTGAAAACTATTGGTTTCGAAGTAGTTATTACCGGGCTATTATTTTTTCATTACTTAGAGTACAACTAATTTTAATTTTATACAATGGAGTTAAAAATAGTTAATGGACTAATTGATGGGTCATGGGGTCGACTAGTAATTTAAGAAATCCATTGGAAGCCAAATATTAAATAAACCCATCTATATCCCAATCCTAGCCTATCTAGGATTGCAAGCAAGATGGTTGGATAAAAGTCGACCAACATCTAGCCGAGGGAGGGCAGTCTATCAAAGCAACAGGTTGGGAAACCAAGAGAACATTTTGCATCCTCTTATCTTATCCCAGCCCAAGGAGGAAGGGAGAGATTTGTAGAGGAGGGGGGGCATCCAACTAAGGGTGCACACGGTTCGGTTCCTTACGGTTCCGACTGGAACCGAAAGCGGAACCGTTCACAACGGTTCCTTAAAATTAGAACTGGAACCAAACCGAACCGAACCGTGAATACCGGTTTGGTTCCACGAGAACCGACTGTTTGCTTCACAAGCTTGGTGGGTGTAGATTGGAGATGGTGTGTCGGTGTAGAATGTAGATTGGAGAAGCCGTGTGACCGTGTCACACTTTTTTGTCACTGACTGACGAGAACATGAGAGGATGAGATGGTGTGTCGGTCACTGGGTGTAGATTGGATCATCGGAGAAGCCGAGTGACTTGAGTGAGGAATGAAGATGAGGAAGCTTTAAGCCTTTGAGATGGGGGAGGGCGATGACGAAGCCTTTGAGATGGGGGAGGGCGATGATGAAGCCTTGAGATGAGGGGGACGATGAGGAAGCTTTAAGCCTTTGAGATAGGGGTTGGCGATGAGAATGAGTGAAATTGTGATTCTGATGAGATTAGAAATGAGGTTTAGGTTTGTTTTTTGGTCTAGTGTGGACCACGTGACTGCCTCTGCTTCACCTGTATTAGTCACTTTAGTCTTCACTGAAGCAAACAGAAGTAATATAACAAAAGTAATTGATAATATATGTAATTGATAATATAACAAAAGCAATTGATAATATATATATATATATATATATATATATATATATATATACGGTTCCGGTTCTTAGCGATTCCCACCGGCTGGAACCGGAACTGTATGTCCACGGTTCCTAAATTTGGAACCGGGACCGGAACCAGAACCATGAGAACCGGAAAAAACAGTTCCGGTTCTTTTGTGCACTCCTACATCCAACCCCAAGGGCAGCCTACCTCTCTCCTCCCTAGTAGGAAAAGCTTTGTTCTACAATAAGCTAGACCTTTTCATCCATGTATTTTAGAAAAGCTTCCATACAAGCTTTCCAAAAGTTGTAATTACATCCTTCAAAGATGATGGTTCTCGATATGGGAACACCTTCCTTAAGGCCTTCCATGACCTACTCTTTAATTTAGAAAGGGAAGGGGGGAGGGGAGGGGGCCTCCAACCCTAGGGGCGGCCCACCTCTCTTCTCCCCAGTAGGAAAAGCTTTGTTCTACAATAAGCTAGACCCTTTTATCCATATAGAAAAGCTTTCATACAAGCTCTCCAATAGTTGTAATTACATCATTCGAAGATGATGGTTCTCGATATGGGACCACCTTCCTTAAGGCCTTCCATGACCTAGTCATTAATTTAGAGCAACCCTCACTGATGCCGATTGATAGTGAGGACCATCACCTAATGCTCCGATGAAAGTTGCGCAAGGCTCATGATCTAGACCAAGAGGGGTGCGAATAGGTCTTGTAAACAGATTACCAAAATTATTGCTTTTGAATTCTTAACTAGATTACCAGAATTTTAAATTCAGTTCATATCATAAAATAAAAATCACTCAATCTATACAGCAATAAGCAAATAAAGTGGTAAAGCAATGGGCATGGAGATATTTATGTGAACTCCAAGGAAAAAACTACGGACCTAGTCTAGGAAAACCAAAATCAACTAAGAGAAAGGAAGTTTACAACCTAGGTTAACAATATCCAAAACCTAAGAACCCTAGTCAACTCCCTGACATAGATGGCGCCATACTTTTTCCTAAAGGCCTTCAAGTCATCCTTTCACTCATCAATAGACTTCGCTCTTACCCAACCTGTTTGTGATTTGTTAGGGATGCGTTCCCCTCTTGAACGCTTTTTTTAATTAATTATTTATTTATCAAAAAATATATATGCTCTCTTTATATGTATTTTAGGTTATGTTTTTGTATACTATTTTCTTCCCTAGCATGATTTATATACATAAGTGAAGTATAAATAATATGCAGTCAGTAGAGTTTAAAAAAAAATTGAAACTGCTTTTCAGCAAAACTTGATGGATCAAAATACTCGTAAATCAACAAGGCTCCAATGGGCCTCGACCGAGGACTACTACAATGTAAGCTTAGAAAGCTTTCAATTCAAGAAGCATCCAAATACTCTTTTAATGAACGTTTTGAAACAATGTAGGGAATCAAAGAAGATCAAATAATGTAAAAATCAAAAACCCTAATTATGGGGCAAAGTGCAAAAAACAGCCCTCAGTTTTTTATGTAGTAGTACATAGAACAACCCTCATGACTAATCAAGTAAGTATATATAACTACCTACTACTTTGGAAAAATGTTGCACATAACTACCCTCCCTCCAGCAACCGTGAACATGTGCAGCTCTCGTGACCAAGAGTTAACCCTTAATTACCCAAATACCATTAAATGTACCATATATATAACGTCCGGTGCAAAAAATGCCCTCGATTATTTAAGCAATGCATATAACACTGGGGATAGATGAACTGAACTAGTTGAGGCAAAAAAAAAATGGTTTTTTTTTTTTTTTTATACATTATAATTTGCTAGGTTTTTTATCATGTATTGTACTATTAGTAGTTTTACTCGTTTTATTTTGAAACATCCTGTCTTTTGTCAGTATCATGAACTTTGGCACATTTTATGCTTGTATTACACTGTTTTTTGACATGTATAATATATTGTCATCGTACAATTTTGTTCAATGGTTTGGTATTCAATATAAAAAGACCACACTAATAACACTTAATTGGTTTTATATCCATTACAAAAAATAAGTATTTCCATTACAAAAAAATAATCACATTCATTACACTTTTTTATTTTTTGTAAGTGATCGCATTCATTACACTTAACGACCAACAAAGTTAAAAGGGCCTGACAAAATGGAAAGCACCATATGGGTCAAAAAGTTTAATTTTGTGAGATAAGTAACACCCAATGTTCTATATACACTATTAATGCAATAATAAATAATAAATAAAGAAGAAAATACCTAATTCTAATAGAAGTCATAATTTATGATGTCATTTATGCAGAACACAATTCACAATCCTATTCCCATTAGCTAACATTCTGTCAACGCAAAGAGGACATACTAATACAGGGGAATATAACATATGCTAATTAATGATATCTCAAAATATTATTTAAATTAATATGAAACACTAAGGTTTCGAAGTAGTTGTTACCTGGCATAACAGCTGGATGATTTGAAGGGCGCTGAGGAGCCCTTAGCTTAAACAACAGCAATTTCCATCCATCACTAATAGTTTTCCAAACCTCAGCTTGATAAGTATTCTTCACACCAGCATCAGTTGCCTCAAATGTAATATCCCAGATCAAACCAGACACGACCCTTGTGCTTGCCCCGACCACTCTCACAAACTCAAGATTTGAATTCTGTAACGGAAGTTATGCCACTTTAATTAGTAAAAATGATAAATCACCCACACAATGTGCACAGTATCATGAACATTTTGCAGTTTACATCTCTCTCCCTCTCTCTCACACACGCGCACAAATAAAAGAGGGAGGGAAGGAGTTGGAGAGACGCATTAGACAGTTCATGTTGGAACTAAAATAACCCATTATTATTTTTTAATTTATTCAGCCCATAACATAAATAAATAAATAAATATAAATAAGCACAAGATTAAACTATATTTAAACCTGTTGCTTGTTGTGTTGCTCGACAGCAGCACGGGCGGCTTCTAAAAGAAAAGGATCATCCATATGTCCAAAGAAGGGCAAAGTTCCACCGGCGCAATCCGACTCAAACGCCTGTAATTGTAGTAGATATTAATGTATATACAAATATATATATATAAGAGAGAGAAAGAAAGGGATAATACCTTCCTGGCAACAGGATTTTCTAAATGGAACCAGTCTTTGAGTTTCTTAGGCATGGAATCAATGATTTCAGCAAGACGAGCGCTCGAAGAGGAAGAGGAATAACGACAGAAAGACCTTATCAGATTTTGGGGGTGGTTTTTGATTGAAATACCACTCAAAAAACATCTCTTCGTCAAATTCAGATGATTCTTAAAACCAAATCTACCCACTTTCTCAAGCACACAACGAAGAGCCATCAATAATGGGTGCCTTGTACGGACTGAACGCCGGCTATGGATGCTTTGAGGAGGTCTGCGGTCAATAGAAGAGTCCGCGAGTACCCCTTTATATTTTTTCCATATCGAATTTGGGGGACAACCTACCTACTCACCCACCGTGGTATTCCCAAATGACCAACATACCCTTTACTCTGCACTCCATTTCAAACTAACACAAATGTCAAATGATACTGTTATAAATTATATCTAAACTATAATACGACCCTTTTTATAAATATAATATCCCATTTGAGAAATAAATGTAATATATTTTTTTAAATATTAACAATTTAGTTTTATTATATTGAATTGATAAAAGGTAAATTATTATATTATATTATATTATATTATTGTCAGTCCATTAATATTATATTTAATAATTCATTCACTACTAATACAATAAAAATTATAATTATAATTATAATAATTTTCATAAAAAGTTAGATTCTAAAAAATGGCCACTTATTTTAGGATGAAATAGTATTAAAATTCTAAATTAATACAATCCTATATCAATTATACTACCGTTTCAAAACTATACTCTTGTATCAAATCCGTTATTCCTAACTAAACAACCATTATTCATATTATAATATTAATCAACTTCACACTCATGTTATAATATTAATAATCTATTTTGTTTCTTTCTATTCAGCTTGTGTCACGCCCAGATTTTTCCCTTACCAAACCTAGTAAAGCTTATACCCTAGGTTGGAGGCCAAATCTCGTGTGAAGAAAAAAGATCTTGAACCTATTTTGCAATGGGGGTGGCTACGGCCTTGAGATTTTGGAATGTGGTGTAACGCTCCAAATCCCACAATCCGATGCATTAACCAAGAGAACCAAACCCGACTCGAGAACCCGGGAGAACAACAAGTGGAAGCTAAGGCCAAAACAATAATAATGTGGAAGCCAAGGGTAAAATTATCATTTCCCGATAACTATTGTAAACGTGATGAACACCATTGGATAGCCAGATCAATAACAATAAATTTAGGCTCAATAATGACCTGTATCGGGTTTAAAACAAAGAAGTTATGGTCGTTTGAAGATGGCGCAAAAGAAAAAATAATATAAAAAAACAATAATTAGATGGGTGTACGATCGTCCGGGAAGGGTGAACGATCGAACGAGCGCCTGAAGTGGGTGATTGATCACCCATGCACCAAAAAGTGCAAAAACCTCACTTGTTTGAGGCCTTGGGCACCTCATTGGTACCAAACAAGGTCCGAAGTGCCACTGAAACCTTTCCCGAACATCCTGCAAACATCCAAAAGTGATCGAAGGTCCGTGAATCATGGCATAGACAAATGTGATCCAAATGAATAAGTGCAACATGCATTGAAATGTGCATTAAAGATGAAACTCACACATTGAAAATAAAATGGCCTTATGGCCTCAAATACATCATATTAAATTCACTTACACTTGCATACTCTAAAAGTAATACACGAGATTACAACCACAAAAGAAAGAAGTGCAACATAGGAATTAAATTCCTAAGATATACATGAAAGGTTATATACGTAAAAAAAAAAATACATCCACAATTGAATTAAGGTATGTCATTAACTCTGAAAGTCGTCTCAAGCAACTTTTTTTTCTAAAAAATGGTTATATAATAGGGGTGAGCACCACAACTCAGTAGGATGGTGGATTATACAAGTAAAGTGTGTCATTTGGAATCTCCAAGGACGAGCAAGAAATGTTCGGCATCAGAAGGATAAAAGGTCATGCAACCTAAGATTCTAAGCTCCATGAAATGAAGGGGATCATATACCCTAACTTTAATCTCCATAGCATGATATACTGACTCAACTCAAGTAAATTATATAGTCAAATCCTGTATTAACGATAACACACCATCAAGAATATCGATAAATAAATTGTAATCCTCAAATAGCACATTATCAAATAATGACCACCACGACACCACAATGGTAATAAAGTCCACATAACTCCATGAATTATAAACTCAGTGCAATCCCATGAACTCCAACATGGCTCAACTCACACAATGAGAATATCACAATGCAAATTGATAATGCCCATACCAAAAACCATATTCCACACATGAAAATGAATTGGTGCACTTCCGCACCCATTTGGCCAATGTACATAGGGCTTTACCCCTTGGGCACTGAGCCACCCTCTTTAAAACTTAAATAGCATATATCTGTCAAATATGTCATGTATGCCTTGCATACGCAACCCATAAACCAATTGACAACCACAATATACCCATGGCCAAGGTGGCACTCACACTATAACCCACACACGTAGTAAATTACTCCAATGCACCCCAATGCTAAAATTATATCTAAATTACTCATATAGACATTTGATCAAGTCTTTCAAATGTTTATAAACACATATACATCCAAATATCCAAATTGGTAACATTTCCTTAAAGAGCATGCATAGGCAAAATATATAGCAACCAAGTACTCAGTTACCCCCTTTTAGTTCATGCTCATGATGTTGTGTTTTGTAATGACCCTGTCATTTTCCTTCCCAACTTTTTTCGGGTTTTCTTTTTTTGTCACCTTTTCACTATTTTTTCATTTTGCGTAACCTATCGGGTCGTGCTCGGATTTGATTCTGAACTTGCATGCATTCATTTTACTTGATTCCTATGTAATCCACTTTTTTACTTTTGTGGAAAAACATGCTAGATGTTTACTTTTGCCCGTAAGAGTATAAATGCAAATATTCTTAAAAATTATTTTCTTTACTTGGAGTGTTTTTCGTAATTATCTTTTGATAAAATTTTGTATTTAAGGTTCTTTTAAATGTATCTTTTGAATAGCAGTTCATTTGAGCTTTATGAGAAAGTCACTTTTTGAATTATTCAGTGGCGGGCATTTGTGTAATTATGGAAAGTTTTTAGAAAATTTTCTCGTTTTGGGTTCAAACTTTTATGAGGGATTTATTTTAACTTTTTATGGACTCTGGCACTTCTGAAATATTTTTTGGATTTTTATTTCATTTATTTTGAATTTTCGAACCCCGTTAGTTGTCAATCTTGTCTGGGGCATATCTCCTCGTTCAGGACTCGGTTTTCGACCCCGTTTCTTCCGTTGACCTTAGAATTCCATTCCAAAACTTTTTTATTCACCGACTGTCAGCATTTGAGAGCTTTTCACTAATTTCACTTTTTAGACACGGACGGGGCCCGTTCGAACAGTTCAAGACACCTTTTTAACCTATTTAGGATTAGAGGATGAGAGAGAAAGCATCTCTAACTTTTCATTTCCTAAAATAGCAGCCACTAGCCTCTATTGAAGAACCTTAGAGCTGCCCCATCTCTCTCGTCTTTTCATCTATTTCCTCTTTGAATTTCATCTTCACGGTTTATACTTTTTTGATCTCCTCGACGACACGGTTATTTCTATCTGATCGGTTTCTGATTTGCAGCACTTCGATTTTTGGGCTGATAGTTCAAGATTGGATCTGGGCCTTTTCACTTAAGGATTTTTGCTCTTCTTGTTGTCCCCATCAAAACCCCGAAGTTTCATCGCATTTTGGGGATATTAATTTTTGTGGAATTTGAGATTTCATCTCAAAGTGAGGTAGGGGGTGTTTCATATTTATAATCTTAGTGTTTTATATATTTTTGAGATTTATATAACTTATATGCATGTTTAAAGTTTAGATCTAGAAATAGTTTTTCTTTTAATTAAATGATGATTTAATTTCATAGTTAAAGCATGCTTAGATTTAATTAAGATTATGATTTTTGGAGAGCTCGTGACTTATAGTTCGTCATATATTATTTTTGAAAATTTTGGATGACTTTTGAAATCTTGAAATTTTTAATTATTTAAGTTAATTAAAAATTAATTTAGTGTTTTAGTGGCTTAATTAGACTTTTAATTTGATATTTGAGTTCTTTATGATATGTTGTTTATTATGTGTTAATTTCATGTCATTTGGTGATATTTTGTAACATTTAGGAATTAATTAATTATTATTTTATTAACATCCATTTAATGAATTTATGATTTATTTGCACTTTTGATGTTTTCAAGGCCTATTATGTTACATGTCATGGTAGTTGAGGACTTAGGGCATGTCTTGTGTGTTCCCACAAATTGATTGTGTGTGATATTTGATTATGTGCATTTGGTATATATGTATATACTTATTGTGCACAACTAGTTGACTTTAGAAACTTTAGATGTCGTAAGAATGACCATGGCTAGGGCACGGCTTTAGTACGGGGGACAGAAGGAGCCCTCTATTTTATAGTGCGCACTTAGGGGCAAGCACCCATGGGCTAGTAACCCAAATAATGCTTGGGTCCGGTTTTATTCCGACTTGACGTCCAAGTCTCCGCTTGTTTGATTTTGCATTTCAATTCCAAGTTGCTTACTTTGTGAATTTATATTTTGTTATTTGGAATTTGATTTTTCAGTATTGTTTAATTGCTTCTTTATTGTGGTTTATGATGTGGATGTTCTAATGTAGCTTAGGATGATCCTTTAGTCTCACATTGGACATAGACGTTAGGTGGCATGAACCACATGGATTGATTTATATCAATTTATAAAGACTTGAAAAACTTTAGGTTATACGCATGTTCATTTCCTAGGAGTAAACTTGTTTACTCACACTCGTTGTTGTGACATTTTTCAAGTAAAGAACCATGCTTTAGGGATGTATAACATCCTTGAAGCTTGCTTGTGGCTTAATGAGTTGGCGTATTCCTATTCATGCACTTATTAGCAAGAAATTTGCTTTATTTTGAGTTTATTATGTCAAAACTTGTAACTTTTATTTGGGATATGTAATAAGTACCTAAATGCATCATTTGAGACTTATTTCACATGTATGTGATGAGGCCAAGGGCCAAGAACCTCATACTTTACTTTTATGCTATTTGATATTATACTTAAAAATGAGAAAAATTGAAAAATGTAAAACTTTAGCATGACAATTTCAGCTTGGATAGTGGAAATTGTGTTTTATCATTTTTCATAGTGTTCTTATATCATGTATGACATGTGGCCATAGGCCAAACAATTCTTTGAATGCATCAATGATAGTTGACTTCAAATTTTG